GCCTTTTAAAGGCTGTTGGAGCAACACCTTAAAGGTAAATATGAAGAGCTGAAGAGCTGATTGAAGCTTACTTTTTAGATTCAGGGTATATGCAGGAATCCTGAAGTCAAATGTAATACCTTTTAAGACCTTTTCTAAGACCCTTTCCACACATTTTAAGACCTCATCGCCACTTTGAGTTCTAACCGGTTGCGGACACCCTGAGATTGCACATAACGATTACTCCATTAATTGCCTTGTTGATCAATTGTTTCCAGGTTTGGTCATTTATTTGGGAATCAATTTGTCATCAACAAACATCTCACTATTCGATCTAAGGATTTGCCCTTTAATGATTGTTTACGAGGTTTTGGACTAAATTGAAAAACAAGAAAATGGTCACCTATCACCTCCTTAGGTTCATGGATCTTTTTAGCCATCCTAAAAGCACCTATTTTTAAGGCGTACCTTGAAAATATAGCTTCTGCAAAGATCATTACACATGTAGTAAAACTTGTCCTATAGATATGTGTGAATGCCACTGATGCCATACAGCATTTGCCTGAAAAATAAAAATCCTACTTCATGAGATTTGATAAGATTTAAAGGCTTCAGCGTTTCCACACAGGAAGCTGGAGAAGTTGTTTTTACGATCTGTTGGTTTCAACCCACAAGTCAAAAACATGAAACTGCCTTTTGGCGCTCAGGATTAAATTCCTTTGATTCACCACTGAGAGTTCACAGACCCAATGGCCCGAGGTTAAAGATGCAAGCTGCACAATCGCAAACATGTGACGTTGGAAGTCCTTATTGTGGTCTGAAGAAACCATGACATGGAACCTTTGTTTGACCCAGCAAACAAAGAACGAGTCTTCGTAATGTGAACCTACAATTGCTATCAGGTTTCCCATCCAAAGTGGAACAGCAACTCTGAACTGCCTATTTCTATTTCAATGGTTGGATGATTTATTATGATGCTATTTGTCAAATAATCTCTCACCTCTTGAAAAGAAAAGGTCACTTAATAGGGTGCTTTGCTAGCTCCTTAGGCTCTTTCCGTACTTTCAGTTCATGTGTTCTGTTCATTGGTGGGATTTTGTGACTTCACCCACAATGGCTTGAAAACCACACACACACACACACACACACACACACACACACACACACACACACACACACACACACACACACACACACACACACACACACACACACACACACCTCTCTGTCTTTTCTTTTAGGCGATACAGGGTGAATGGCCATCCCAACACAAAATCATACACAAGATATCTTCTCAAGTAACTAAATACAGCAACATCTGGCCCGTTAATACAATTCCCAAACCTTCACACACGCCTTGGCAAACGCATGGGAGAACATTCATAAAAACAGACGCAGCAGATGCATTGCAAAAGACACACACTCAAGTGCCACGTTCATGTGACATGAGCCACTGTGCCTTCGCTCATCAGCTTGTGGCCCACTCAGAGTCTCTTGTTGACCTCAAGTCACCAGAATAGCCCGTTCAACCTGCCCTTTGTTGAGGGATCTCAGGTTGCAGAAAGCTTAAAGCCACTTGATTGTGATACTGCAAGTGATTATACCTGAGGACTAACATGTCACATCTTGGTTATGGTTTCGCCGTACTTACAACCACAGTATTTAGAGCCGTGGCATGAGGCTTGTGCCAGAGTGCTTGTGGCGTTTTTTGCCTAAATGACAGGATAGAGTGATCAACTTGGTCCAGATGTCGAAGTCTTCTTTTCTTGTAAACAAATATGTCCGTCTGGTTAAAAAGCTCCGGGGCAATTTCACTGAGGTTTGACAATAAAGCCTGGGACAAACCATATTTGTCATCTTGCGGCAGGCGGTGATACACTTACATTCGTAATGCACATAAACATCTCCGCTCAATGAAGCCATTGTGTGGGATTCTGCTTGACAACTGTTCTATAAAAGCAACCTTTGTGATGCAGAGTTCTCAACGCATCCCTCAAGTTGACCTCAGGGTGAGCCGACCTTTCCACAAGAGATTCTGTTTAAAAGGCGAGAGGAGGATCCTACACGGCAGCTCTGTCATAATGGATTTGTCAGCTAGGAAGCGAACACAGGGCTCTTTTTCACTCGGCAAAAACCACAGACAGCTTCGCCTCAGGTTGAATCCACTCTATCTGCAGGGATGCCCCACTTAGCAAAGCCTTTGCCTGAGTGTTGATTGGTAGAAGTATCAGTTGAAACATTTACTGTCAGCAGGATTGAGCTGAAATAAAAGGCCAAAATATATATTCACCGTGTCACTTTTCGCTGGAGTTTAATTTTCTAAAGTCACAGGAACATAAATATTACCTCCTTGCTGTCGTCATCTTTATAAGGTAGACGGCAGCTGTCACATAATCCAACCTCCCTATCTCCAGCACATCGACTTCCTGCATATGAAACACATACCTCTATTATTCTGTCGTGGATTTGAAGGCCTTCTTCCTTGTCCGCCGGTCCTTCCTCGATGATCTTGGATACAAAGATCCCTTCATTCGAAGTGCTGTCATTGTCGTCCTGTGAGAATACATTTAAATTAATGACTTGCCAATAAAAAAAAAAACACACAGTGCTACGATTGTAAGAGGATAGTGGTGTACATATACATTTCTCATAAAATCTGAAATGTAGTGTCGTAAACAAGTCCCAATAAATCTCTCAATAAAAAGTTGCACGCTACTTCTTAAAACCCTGGAAACATTGAGCAGTTGCCGCCACCAGAAAAGGAAGAATTGTTTGAGGAATCCCCTGAAACTTTGACCAACTCAATAAAATGTAATTGAATAGCAGTTTTTTCTGTAGTCATTTAAAAAAAAAAAATCTCGGATCAATCGCCATATCTAGCTGCAAACTATTTCCAGGAAGTAGGGCTGCGTGATATTTTCCAATAACGATATATGACCTGCAACCAACACAATTGTTACGGCTAAAATACCAAAAAAAATGTATTTAATACCATTGAACTGAACAGGCACCAAAACATGGTAGTTCAATTTTGAAGTGCAGTTTTCTACTGAAAATGTATTTCAACTAACTTACGACTGAGTGCAAAATCCCACTTTTGGGGATAAACAAAATACAATGAAAGCCCTAATGGGTCACAACTATTTAATTCCAGAATCTGGGCCAATGTATTCAAATATATCTGAGATACCAGTTGGGGTGAAAGAGAAAAATAAGTCTATTTATAAATGTGGGTGAACTGACCCTTTAACCCTGCCCATGAGTGTTGACTCAAGGGTTAGCTTTAATTGCAGATGCTTCCCAGGCCTGAAGGGACATTTCTGGCCTGCAAAAGGGCATGTGGACATGTTGGATTGATATGAGGTAGATCTGTCGCCATGACCCCAGGGTCAGAGCTAAGACTGCTTACATCTCCATCAGCACTCTCTCTAAAACCAAATGTAAAAACACTCTACAGTCCTGCCACACAACTGCAATGTAATGGGATACTTCAAGAAACTTTAGAAGTCACAGTGCTAACTCTAATTAATTATTTCCGCTCTGCTTCCTCTCTCAACAGGCATCATGTACAGTGTTAATGCTTTGCGACTAATTCTTACTTCTTTGCTTTACAACTAACCCCCTATCTTCAGAGATGTAGACAAACTAGCCCTTACACAGACCACAGAACCTGGCAGCTGATTGCTCGTACCAAGCCATGCCAGAGTGACAGCCACATGAAACGATTGTGTCAAAGGCTACTGGTATATTAGTAATTTCCATTTTAATGAATAGCTTCACAGACTGTTGATTTGAGGCTAGCCGGAAAGCCAAGTATTATATCTGCGCTCTTATGGTTTGGTTTGATGCATGGTCCTGTCACAAAAGGTTGCAAATCTAGGAGGCTCCAGTAGAAAACTTTTTATGTGAAGATCTTTCTATAGTTTCCCGCTATAAAAAGTGTTACTATGGTAATCTATGTCGCTGCAGAAAAGTGCGTCACTGTGTAAGTGAGGAAAAAATCTCTGTAACCATTCAGTACAGTCCCAATGAAACAGAATACTTTTTCAATAGGACTTCAGCTGCAGAAAGAGGCTCCATGTATGGAAGGTTTGTAACCAGTGTTGAGGTATTTTCAACCCTTCACTCAGCAGAGCGTGTGGCATCATTAACGACATTCACTTCAGAGCCCCCAGGGCGGAAAAGTGGCCGTGAAAGGTTCAGGCTGGGTTAAAAAGACCCTTTCCTCTCCTCTGTGTTTACCTCACCACCAAAATCCCCTCAATTAGAGACAAAACAACTGCGGTCAAAGCCATAATCCCAGATTTAACTCTCATAAAAGTAATTATAGTTTTTTTAATCTGTAATGCCAAATCCACGAAACCAGACCAATATATAAACACAATAAAACGTAATACATGCGGTCCATCAATCCACAGACTACTAAACACAAGCATGAATGTCAAAGATGTGTACGTCAGTGCAGAGAAAGTCTGTGGTGCTTCAAGTATGTGCTATTCATTCCTGCGTTGCTATATGATACTTGGCTGATCACCGGGGGGAGATGAAACCTCCAAGACGCTCGGCTTTCAACCTACCGCGCATGGCCTTCCTCCTATGATGTTAAAACCCAGAGATCCGCCCTCACGAAGAAGGACAACCGTCACGCTTTTTGTCTCGCCTTCCTAAAGACAGACAGAGGAGAGACACGTGAACAATGAGATGGCAGGAGGTTATGACATAATAATCCTTGATTAACTCCAGGTGAGCTAGAGAATGATTGGATTCATAGAAGAACAGAGCAGGAAAATGCCATTTTCTTATGTATTAAGGATAATAGTTTAACACATTGTATTGAGTTAATTAATGATAGCTCTGCATGAGGTGATCTGAAAGTGTAAAAGTGAGAACTCACATCTTCACTAGGGCTGAAATTAATTGTTTTTTGTTAAAACTGCAGTTTGAAACAGTGCCACTTTCAAATGTAATGATAATACATATTTAACAGCTGCTTCCAAGGTGTAGCAAATTAGGGTTTTACACACTGCTGGCATTTTGCTTTCATATTCTTGGTGTAAGCCATAAAAGAGACTGAACTTGTTATTGACCGTTCTTAACAATCTGTCTGAGGTCCCGTGTCTGTACGATTAACATATAGCAAAAATAAACATTTTAGCTAACCGGCTAACAATAGCTCTGTAGTTGTTGAGTATAATGATTGGCACCTAGAGGCAGAGTTGCTGGAATCTCATGGTAAAACTCTAAAGAGTAGGTTTCTTATACTGTAAATCTGTTAAGTTTATCACTCAAAAAGCTGAGTGTTGACTTCCAGGACTATGTGAAGCAGTTCATAATGTAGGCTAAGTCTGTGAAGCTAACGTTAGCTTAAGCGGTTACAATGGTAAGCTGTCAACAGTATAATTAGGGGTCGTTAGCTGGATATCAAAACACTGTTGGGTGTGAGATACCATGGATTTGTCATTAACCAAGTAGTTGATATTAAATAGAACATCAAAATGATATCCGAATGTTATTGAGAGACCAATGTTATATTAGTAAATGGGATTAATTATTCAGGGTTTCTATGGACGACTCGACAGTTTAACTTAAATGGACATTATTTTTCTATGGACCTAAAGAACATGAATCTGATATTCAATGAATCTAGACACAAGACAAGTTTGTGATTATGCTTGGTACAAATACCCTTGTTTAAAACTGTAAGCCTCAAATTGAAATGATAAGACTACTGGGTTGTCCGTAGGTGTTGGGATCAGGGGGTCACAGGTTCAAACCCCACTGCAGTCAGCATGTCGTTGTGTCCCTGCAAGGCACTTCATCCCAAATTGCTCCTGTGGGGATTGTCCACAGTATTGAGTATGTATGCTTTGGATAAAAGCGTCTAACAAGTATCATGTAATAAGAAATCTAAATGTAATTTCCCAATTCTGCTGAGCTCCAAAAGATAAACAAATTACAAAAGGACAAAACTATTTATTTTTTCTTCTGCATACTGTAAGTAATGAACAATCTCGCAAAAGTAATTATTCGTTGTTTTCAACTATCCATTTTTAATCCATTCCGTGGCTTTGAACCATAATATTAGTATTTGTTTAATATTGTCGGAAAAATAAAACAATAACTGAATATTTGTTCTCAAATCGTTCAGCTTTGGCTTTGGCCACTCCCTGAGGCTCAGCAAGCCGAAAGACCAACAGTGACCATTCAGAAAAGCCCTTCCCCCTGAAAAACTGTTGTCCTTTGTAAATTAATACACCAGAGGACCTCTTACTCAGTGACAACATGACATGAAAACCTCTGGGAAACCAGCACAGTCAGCTCTTAATAGTTGTTTTCCAAGCAGGACTTAAAGGGAGTTATGAGGAAACATAATTTCAGCTGCCACTCCAGTATGCTGCTGACTAAATATAAAGCTTGGCATGTACAGTGTCCTTACTGCCCTATATTCCAAAAATGACCATAATGTGCATGTCAGGCCATTCGGGAATGTGTGCTCCTGCAATGTGTCAGGGCACAGCATTAGCGACACATGCCTCCCCATTAGAGAGACTACAGCCGTTACTGTCAACAAGAAAACAGTTGGGCGTCAAGTGAAAACGGATTTGACAAAAAAAGAAGAAACCGGTCCTTCACTGGAGTTAAACTGAATTAGCCACAAGCCCTCACAACAAATTAGAAGAATTTTAAAAGGTTATTTGCATGTTGTCCTCGAGAACCGTTAAAATGAACTCAGAGTAATTAAGGAGTGTTTTTTCCACATCTGTGAACACTCTAGCAAGTCTCTAATCCCTAAAAAATGAGGTTAATCTCTTCAGGAGGTTGTGTATTTACTTAAACAAAAAGGTATGCCTAGGTGATAAAAAATAACACCACCAAAAAGGCAAAACATGATCACACTGGAACACATGGAAGAGATGCCAAGTAAACATTAACTTTAATGGGAAAAGAAGAACAAGACAGCGAGGAAAGAGAGCAAGCTGGCAGAGAAATGTTGGTCTGCTGCTCCCTTGGCACACTCCTCAGCAGCAGTCACACTTTCCGAGTCTGTCCTGCATCAAACTGCTTCCCTCAGTCTGCCTCTTAAAACGTATCTTATTATAGTGAAGGTACTGTAATGCAGAACAAAATGTTTCATTGGCCTAGAATTATAGAGGGGATACTTCTCAACCCCCAAAACGACCATTATCTATGGCAGTGTTTCCCCTAGGTTTACTGCTTTGGGGGGGTGCTGCCTGAGCGGGGGGATATATATTTTTTAAATACTCTGGAGCAGAGAGAGGAGCTGTGGATTATTGTTATTGATGAATGCATCAGTGTTTCTTAGGGTCAAAAACACTAAACTCACAACTTAAAATGAAAGCGTTTAGTTTATTTAATAAAAGAGCACATGTTCAATGTGAAAAGTGAGAGTAGATATAAATTAGTTGCAATTTGGTTTTATATATATATTTTTAAACACCTTTAATTTCAGGGGGGGCTCCGTTGCCGGGGGCGCAGCGCACCTCCAAGGCAATGGTAGGGGAAACACTGTATTGCATGCCTGTTTATTGAATGAAGAGAGTCCCATTTGTCAGATGCTCACTACTTTCCAAGCACATTAATGTTTGCTACAATTATTTAGACTGCACCAGTTGTTGTGTCTGAGTTTATTAACTGATGTTTTGATATAGTGTAGGCCTAGCTGTTGTTAAAAAAAAAAAAAACGTTTACTTCGATCCATTAAGATTTGTTGTATTTTTAATTTACCATGGTAGTATCTGAGAATGACAACGTTAACTTAAGGAATGGAATTGGCAAAAGAAGACTCGAATCAAAAACACATTTGAGGTTCTACACAGTGAAATTATGACTTTGCATTCAACCTATACTAGCATTAGAAACAATGGACGGCTACATTGATGTCTGGGAAGTCCAGTGCTTTGAATCGACGACGTACACTCAATACAAACTGAGATACTGCAGCCCTGAATCAAAGTGACACAGAGTGGGTCATTGATAAACAAATGATCATGTTGGGATTAAAGTATTCCTTGAAGAGGCAGAAACTCAGTGGCTTGATCATGGTGGTTAATTGATAGCAGTTTGTGTGTGATGGATTTCAAATCGATTAGATCATTAGTGAAGCTAAAGTATAAAAAGGAATCAGCCACCTAATCAATTTCTTTATTTGAAGGTTTACTTTCAAATAAAATGCCCAGAACTCGTGTTTTCAGCGACTTCTCGATAGCTGTTAGTGAGATTTATGACATTAAATTGGCACCAATGAATATGTGATAACTAATGGGCTGCTCGATTATGGCAAAAATCATAATCTCGATTATTTGGGTCAATAATTGTAATTGCGATTATTAAATGCGATTATTCATTGACTTTGAAAACATCAATTTATTGGAGAAAACATTTTGAACAGTATGTTTTTAACAGTTGATTACCCTGAACTTTAAGTATAATTCAACTGAAAAAAAAAAAGTAATAATAAAAAAAGAATAGTTTTATTTCGATTACGTTGTTTTCGTAATCGTTGCAATATAAATGCAAATTTTTAAAAGTTTGAAAAACTCTTCTAAATGCTCCGGTGGTACTGCGGGTTTTTTCAGAGCCCAGTTAATCCAACTCAAATTCTTGTCACTCCTCTCGGACATAGCTAGACACTCGTGGAGGTGTTACTGGTCGATTTTTTGCGGGGGGGGTCGACAGGCTGAGTCTTGCGCCCCCCACCCACTCACTTTTTCCAAACCGAAACCTGAAAGCCTTTGGTACCCTAAGCTCGGACTGGGCGAAGTTCCCGGCAGCCTGGGCCTAAAATTTTACGTTGAACACGTTGTTTCACGACCTCCTGGGCGACTGCCTGAGGCACGGCCAGTGCAGAAGACGAGGCCGACGCATCGACGGGACCAGCAGGTCGTCCTCGTCGACGGGGCAGGGTTTACAGTCGCGTGAGACGTTTCTCGACTTGGTGCAGGAGGGAATGTTTGGAGTAAGGACTTTCGACCTCTAGTTTACACTGTTGGTGCGTTCCGACGCTACGGCACCACTTCGACGTCTAGACGGACCGTGTGAGCCTACGACGCTGATGTGGGCCGGGTCACGTCCTTATTTCCCTACGTGCCTCCAGGAGTCGAGCCTGTACCTACGAGTGTAACGCCCTCTGCAACGCTGACGTCCTGCCACCCCCAACACGCCTCTCGCCGATCGCCGAACTACGAGTGAGAGTCTCTCGTCCTAATTTCTCGGTGACGACGGACTCTTGGTACTTTCTTCGCGGTGTTATTCCGTGACGTTACGTTTTAGTAGTCGGACCCTATCCTCTCCAAGTTCGTCGTCTGATAATTTCGGTTGTTCTCCTCTTCCGTGACGACCCGAGTTGAAAGCCCTTTACGTGTCGCTCGACGTCACTACTGTCTGAGACTTTATAGTCTTCTTTAGTGGCTCATGTCGCTAGCTCGGCTAGGAGTGGTTTCCTGGACACCGAGGTACGTCCATCTGATTCCTATGATTTTTCGTGAGGAGACATGTAGACATGAAGAGGAGCGTGCTCCCTTTGGACGTAAACTATTAGGTTCTCTTTGGCTGGTTGAAAGATTTTATACAACAGACTGAAGTTACGACCACGTATTTAGTAAAGAGAAGAGGGATTGCAGACACGGTTGATAAATTTATAGGG